CTCTCTTCCTTCTACACCACCTTCCTCTATCGAATCCTATCTCTTTCCTCTATACCACCATATTATATAGACTCTTCTCTCCTTTCCTTCTACACCACCTTCCTCTACAGTAGCCTCTCCCTTCCTTCTACACCACCTTCCTCTACAGTAGCCTCTCCCTTCCTTCTACACCACCTTCCTCTACAGTAGCCTCTCCCTTCCTTCTACACCACCTTCCTCTACAGTAGCCTCTCTCTTCCTTCTACACCACCTTCCTCTGCAGTAGCCTCTCCCTTCCTTCTACACCACCTTCCTCTACAGTAGCCTATCCCTTCCCTCTACACCTCTTACGGCACCTCTTACGGCAGTCTCCCTGTCACCTGTGCTTGCAGGTTTACACGATGCCGGAATACCTGAAGAAGCGCTTCGGAGGACAGCGGATACGCGTCTACCTCTCCTGTCTCGCTATCCTTCTCTCCATATTCACAAAGATCTCAGTAAGCCGCATGATAAGAAAACCACCGATCGCTTATTTAATTAATCTCCCATCTTAATTAATTACAAGTTAATTACATTAATTGCAGCTGATTACGTCACTGGGCCAAGCAATCTCGGTATAAAAGTCCAATCCGTCTCTGGCACAAGTGCATGTTGACAAACTGATATAATTATAGAATTATAACACATGTCCGTGTCTGAGGTGCGTGTTATAGATATTGCATACAGGGCAAATATCATGTGATGTCAGTAGTGTGTAGATTGTATTTAGTTCCTGCTTGTGGTAAACTCGTGGGTCTAGTTTATCTGAGTAATAGTAATAGTAGTGTTTAGACTTTATCTTAGTCCATGAGTGTAGTCCCCAACTCGTGGGTGTAGTATGGCTGAGTGTATAGTGATAGTAGTGTGTAGACTTTATTTTAATGTAACGAGGTTGTGCAGCAAATAGTATATTGTTTCTCAACCCACATGCGCGCGCACAGAGACAGGCAGCCGCGTGCCTCGCACACTCACGTCCGATCTCCTCACAACCAAGAACCTTCCTTTTATACATTTCTATCTAACAAAGAAAGTCGCGCGCGCCCGGACAACCACACCCGCTGCCCACATGCCCAACAACTCCCTCTCAACCGTTTCGCATCTCCATCATCCATACTACATCAAACACGCTGCCGCCGACTAACCCATTATGCAACTACTGTCGCGACATTTCTAAACACAACTACTATTTCTACCATCTGCAAACCACACTTTACATTAATCTACGAGTGTTGTAAACTCGTGTGTCTAGTTTATCTGAGTATATAGTAATAGTAGTGTGTAGACTTTATTTTAATCTACAAAGTGTAGTAAACTCGTGGGTGTAGGGTGTCTGAGTATATAGTAATAGTAGTGTGTAGACTTTATCTTAGTTTATTCTACAACACGTGGCTGAGTGTATAGTGATAGTGTTGGATTTATTCAGGCGGATCTGTTCGCAGGAGCGATTTTCATTGAGCAGGCATTGGGTTGGAACTTGTATGTATCCACGCTGATCCTCATCCTGCTGGCTGCTCTCTTCAGCATCCTTGGTAATGTCGACATCAACATAAAGACTTGACAGGTCACTGTTGTAACGATACGCACGCACGCACGCACGGACGGACGGACGCACGCACGCACGCACGCACACACACACACACACGCACACACGCACGCAAACACACACACACGCACGCACGCACGCACGCACACACGCACGGACGCACGCACGCACGCACGCACGCACGCACGTACGCACGTACGCACGTACGCACGCACGCACGCACGCATGCACGCACGCACGCACTCCCGCATGCATGTACGTACGCACGCACGCACGCACGCACACCTGCAGATCGTGAGAGCAATTAAAGTTGAAGATTTGAAGTTGTATTTAGATTGCTGAAGATTTAAGATGATTGACTAAGATGATATCGCTCTCTCTCTATATATATAGACATATATATGTTTGTATGAATATATTTTATACGAAATTATGTATATAATTATATATATATATATATATTAGATTTATATGAGAGTACTTTCTGTTTTATTTATGTATGTGTGATGTATTTGTGTCTTGCATTACAGGCGGTCTGACGGCAGTAATATGGACAGATACTCTACAGACCGTCATCATGCTAGGTGGCGCTGCTACGCTCACAGCCATCGGTGAGCAAGCCAATCATGGCCGCTTAAAGCAACAGGATTTACATTTAATTTTAATGATAATATTTAAAGTTCGCTGCGAGTATGGGCGGGGAGTGATTAAGCAGTGTGTTTGAGCGCGCAAAGGGTTGCTAGATATAGCAACACGTGCGTTTTAGTTGGGAGTTATATACAGCCTTAGTAGGACCTGTCAATCATCGGTGAGGGCGTGGTTCTGAACCTATAGCTGAGAGTGCATGAGAGCACCTAAATGCCGGATTTTCTTTCTTTAAATATAACTAAACTGCTATGATATCCTTGGCCATCTCAACATATCTGCAACTGTTACGTCTGTCTGTGAGGCTTGTTCTCTTACGTCTGTCTTCGTCTGTCTACGTCTGTCTTATTTCTTGTTTTCTTACGTCTGTCTGTGGAGAGGCGGTGTGTCCCTGATTGCTATTCAAAAACTCGAGCCAATAAGTCTTTCAAACATACTAAAACATTCTTACAACCCACTCCTGCTATCCCTCTCACCGCGAGGCGGCGCTCGTGCGGGCACGCGTATACCCTGCTGCATCCGCGCCGCACCGCCGTAGTCTCTCTCGTAACGCTTACCGCTATTGCATCGCAGGGTTCGTTCGCATCGGTGGCTACCAAGCTGTAATATACGAATACTTCAACGCTATCGCCACGACAGTGATCATGAGCAACGAGAGCGAATGCGGGTTCCCTCCCGACAACTCCATGCATCTGATGCGACCCGCGGATGACCCGCAGCTTCCGTGGCCCGGGGTCATATTCGGGATGTTCGTGTCCGGAGTCTGGTATTGGTGCTCGGACCAGGTGAGAGAGGGATGATGAGGATGATGATGATGATGATGATGATGATGATGGCGTGTTAAGTACCGAGGCACTCACTGCCACTCCCATAGCGAGAGAGAGAGCCATCGACACACAAATACTCATGGTTATAATCATCTAATATTATATAGGATTATGGTATACATAGATAATAACGGAATATACTATATAATAACGAAAAGAATGATCCAAGGTGATATTGCAATTACGTTAGCATGAATACATAGACAAATAAACATGTCAAGTCATATTAAGTAAAGCTGTGCCCCCACCCCCATCCCACACAGAGTAACGTATCAGTGCACGTGGTGTGGAGGCACCATTTACCTTCCCCGTTTCTTACCCTACTTAGAAATATAACTGTGATAATGTTACGGTCTAGGTCATAGTACAGAGGGCGCTAGCGGCGAAGAACATAAGCCACGCGAAGGCTGGCTGCGTGTTTGCAGGTTACCTCAAGCTACTTCCCATGTTTCTACTCGTCATGCCTGGCATGGTCGCCAGGATCCTCTTTCCCGGTAGGTGTCGCCACCGTCCGATCGCGCGCCGCGAGCCACGAGTTGTCTAACGCGACGGGTGATTAATCGATTGTTCGATCATTAGATCGATCGCATTTTTAAAGGGACAGTAGCCTCTAGGATTTTACTGCATACAACTGTACTTACTGTATAACAAATCGTCTATACCCACATGTATTTGTCACCAGATACTTAATTAATTATTTACACATCAACGCTACGAAATTTGAACGGCGCCATGACACCCGCGACCGTGCTGCCACCCTGAAAAAGTTGCGTATTTGCATTTTTATTTTGCAGGTAAATGACCGAGGGCTAATCACAAAAGTGCAATTATATTTATACCTAAATGCTATTTAACCGAACGATATTCATTTTAGGGCAAATTTATCCATATTATAACTGAAACTATATGTCGTTTATAAGATATTACAATCCTTTTGCTTTTAAATGAATAAATAAGAAATACCCTCGGTCTGTAGCCCTTGGCTGGAAAGTGGTTTTGCGCAACTTCTCAGATCGTGCGCTTTGAGTGGCGCCACCGTCGTTGTAATCAAACTGTAGTCGTTAGTTTTAAAACATTAAAAAAAAATATTTCTAATGGTGATTGAACCATGAAACTTTTTATGTAGCGCAATTATAACCTAAATTAGCTGAAAATAACCCTAGAACCTAGAGGCTACTGTTCCTTTAATTGAATATCATCGTTATAGATCGTCGAACGTTATCATTGAAATAGAATGTTGATAGCAAGTGGGAAAAGTGACGTCATTATCCAACCAGAGTGATTGAGAGTAACTCTAGCCAATCAGCATCGTAGTGGGGCATTCTAAAAACGCTGCGTAGGATCGCATTCGTGAAGAAAAGTAAAACAGTCAAAAAGCAATGAGATGTATAGAGTTTCCGAATCCGTGTTTGCTTATAGATAGCAAACCCCTGTAGGAATAATGACATCTATTTCGGTGTTTTCAAAACAGCGCTTGTAATTAAGAAATTGATAGTTTTTCCCAAATCCCTTTATACCCTTCCTCCACTTGTAATTTAACCGATTGAAGTTTAATTTTCAACTAATTTCTTTGCAGATGAGGTCGGATGTGCGGATCCGGACATATGTGAGGAGCTATGCGGATCGAGGGCCGGCTGTACAAACATTGCCTATCCCAGGCTCGTGCTGGAGCTCATGCCAACAGGTGCGGCTGCAGCAGAGGAGGAAGGAGAGCGGAAATGAGGGAGAGGAGGAGGGAAAGGAGGAGGGAGAGGGGCGGCTGCAGGAAAGGAGGGGGTGAGGGAGAGGAGGAGGGAGAGCGGAATGAGGGCGAGGTGGAGGGAGAGGAGGAGGGAGAGCGGCGACGAGAGAGAGAGGTGGAGGGAGAGGAGGAGGGAGAGGAGGAGGGAGAGCGGCGATGAGAGAGAGGGGCGGCTGCAGGAAAGGAGGTGGGATGAGGGAGAGGAGGAGGGAGAGGTGTAAGGAGAGGAAGAGGGACAGGTGGAAAGAGAGGAGGCGGAAGAGGGGTAACGAGAGGAGGAGTAGAGAGGAAGAAAGAAAGAGAGAGAGAGCGCGCGAGAGAGAAGGCACAGACAGTAAGCGTAACCTCTGCCATGCAACCAGCTATAACCGACTATATTCAGCTGTAACTACAATTCACAACTTTCTATAACCGACTGATAGCTAACTAGGCCCCTACTAACCAGCTCTGACGTGTTTGTGACGTCACCAGCTCTGACGAGTCGGTGACGTCACCAGCTCTTACGTGTCTGTGACGTCACCAGGTCTGCGTGGTCTCATGATGGCGGTCATGATGGCGGCGCTCATGAGCTCTCTGACGTCAATATTCAACAGCAGCGCCACCATCTTTACGATAGACATCTGGACGCGCATTCGCAAGAACGCTTCAGAGGTTGAGAAGATGATTGTCGGAAGGTAATCATAATATAAATGATAAAAATAATATAAATACGTAAATATGAAACCTGTACGTTTAAATGGCAAGCTTAAATAGCACATCTCTCTCTCCCTTACTCTCTCTCTCTCCCTCTGTCTCTTTATTCTCTCTTTCTCTCTATCTCCTCTCTCTCTCCCTCTCTATCCCCCCTCTCTTCATCCGATCTATATCCCTCTCTCTCCCACTCTCTCCCACTCTCTCCCACTCTCTTCCTTTCTCTCCTCTCTCTCTTTCTCAATCCCTCGCCCTCATTCGCTCTCTCTCTCTCTCTCTCTCTCTTTATCTAGGGTGTTTGTGATCGGGCTCGTGGTCGTTAGTGTTCTCTGGATTCCTGTGATACAGGCCAACACCGGCAGTCAACTCTTCGACTACATACAGAGCGTGACTAGCTATCTCTCTCCACCCGTCTGCTCTGTCTATGTCCTTGCCATCTTCTGGTCAAGAACAAACGAGAAGGTAACGTGTGGCGTCCAGGGGTTCGTTGTCAGAAACAAATTTAGCCTTAGCAGCAGTATTAACATTAGTATTAACATTGACTTTGTCTCTTAGACTGTCGTCTGAAACATGGTAACGTTTCGAGGATGAAAAATCCTAGCAAATCTTTTCGTAGCTATACAAAACAAAATTATATATGTCAATGATATGTACGACCAACTTTGTTTTGTGACAACGAGGCCCTAATATATAATAGCCATAATTATACGCAACAATTAATCGAATCAAAGATTAAAGATAAAATTTAGCATTACGAGAATCACAACTAAATGTTTTATTCACATTTCCACATCATGGTGTTTACGTGCGATGGTTTTCAGGGAGCGTTCACTGGTCTCATGTTAGGATTGCTGCTGGGAGGCACCTATTTCATCATCACGTTTGTCTACGGCGTGCCAGAGTGCGGGGAACCCGACACGAGACCAAGCTTTATTACCAAGCTACACTACCTGTATGTAGGTACGACAATCCTTAAACATGCACAACCCACTTCATTACCTAAGACTTGGATACCTCTTCCCCGTTTTGAAATTCTGCTCTTGGAATATATCGCGTATATATTGTGTACTGATTGGTATATGCACGGGCATCTTAAATGCAAGGACTTCTTCCTATTTCTTAGGAAAGATGTAGGCCTACTGATGGGGTTTTATCATGTAAATCAAAACTAAGATACCTCCTCCCCATTTTAAATGCATAATATTTGCAAAATATCAGTCCTCTTTGAAGATATCGCGCATGCGCGAGCACCGTTTTAGGCATGCAGTACGGACTAAAAAGATAATAGATAACATAGCTTTCTGGGGGAGAGTGGAGCAAGAGACTGAGAGAACGCGGCCGGGGAGATAGCAGAGGAGGTAGAAGAAGTAGGAGATTGATCGACGCACAAGGGATGCAATGAGGAAGAAGGCAAGGAGATGAAGTAGGAGTATTGCACCTTACAGGCTAGGGCGCTCTCCCATTAATAAACACAGGTCTGCGGACAAGAATTTATCAGAGAAATCTATGCTTAGATACCCCATAACCATATTAAATGCATATTCGTTACAAAATATGACTCATTTGGTAAGATATTGCGCATGCGCTAACACACTACTGTGGTCAAATTGAGTACTAATTGGTATATGCCCGGGCACCTTACATGAAAGGACTTCTTTGTGTTTCTTTGGAAAGTTTTACTGATCGGGGTTTTATCATCTAAATCAAGACTTGGATACCTCCTCCCCATTTTAAATGCATAATATTTGCAAAATATTAATTATATTGGAAGATATTGCGCATGCGCGGCCACAGTTTCAGGCGTGCAGTATGGACTGAAAATATATTAGATATCATAGCTTTCTGGGGGAAAAGTAGAGCATGAGACTGAGAGAACGCGGCCGGGGAGATAGCAGAGGTGGGTAGAAGAAGTAGGAGAATGATCGACGCACAAGGGATGCAATGAGGCAGAAGGCAAGGAGATGAAGTAGGAGTATTGCACCCTACAGGCTAGGGCGCTCTCCCATTTATAAACACAGGTCTGCTGACAATAATTTATGAGAGAAACTTAATGCTTAATTACCCCATAACCATATTAAATGCATATTCGTTACAAAATATGACTCCTTTGGTGAGATATTGCGCAGGCGCTAACACACTACCGTATAGTCAAATTGTGTACTGATCGGTATATGCACGGAGACCTGACATGCAAGGACGTCTTCCTATTTCTTAGATAACGGTTACTGATGAGGTTTTATCTCTAAATCAAAACTAGGATACCTCCTCCCCATGTTAAATGCATAATATCTGTAAAATATCAGACATCATGAAAGATATAGCGCATGCGCGGCCACCGTTTCAGGCGTGCAGTATGGACTGAAAAGATATTAGATAATATGTTTCTGTGGAAGGGAGAGGCGTGAGACTGATAGCACGCGGCCGAGGAGATAGCTGAGGGGGGTAGAAGAAGAATGAGATTGATCGACGCACAAGGAATGCAATGAGGAGGAAGGCGAGGAGATGAAGTAGGAGTATTGCACCCTACAGGCTAGGGCGCTCTTCCATTTATAAACACAGTTCTGCTGACAATAATTTATCAGAGAAATCTATGCTTAGATACCCCATAACCATATTAAATGCATATTCGTTACAAATTATGTCTCCTATGGTGAGATATTGCGCTTGCGCTAACACACTGCATAGTCAAATTGTGTACTGATTGGTATATGCACGGGCACCTTACATGCAAGGATGTCTTACTATTTATTAGACAAGGTCTACGGATGGGGTTTTATCATGTAAATCAAAACTAGGATACCTCCTCACCATTTTAAATCCATATTATTTTTCAAAATATCATTTTCCCCATTTTGAGCGCTCAAGTTTGGCTGAAATAAATTTTCTTGGCTGGCAACCTGACCAACGACACGAGCGGCATTCCTATGTACATCAGCTGAAGGAAGGGATTGTGGCGGGGGATAATGATTATAATAATAATGAATTATAATAACAGTTATTATACTAATAAAATAACATTACATGTGTAGTAAACTTATTCAATTAATTACGGCACATCTGGTTTATTTGCACTTGGTATAAAAAACATGAGGGGGTAATCGTTTACAAGAGTCATTCACTTTGAGCCTAAGTTTACTGATACGTGTATGTGTTCTTTATTACAGGGTTGATACTTTTCGGCATATCAATTCTGACAACGGTAGTGGTTAGTTTATTGACGGAGCGTATAGGGGAGGAACATGTAAGTTGTGCATGCCGACTGCACTACATATACAACGTATATAAAGCGATGCAATGCAAATGCATTATCTTATATATTATAACATTTGATAGAAAAATATAATTATATGTATATATATATATATATATATACATATAATCCATCTTCTCATTCTCGCTCTCTCTCTCTCTCTCTCTCTCTCTCTCCTCTCTCTCTCTCCTCTCTCTCTCTGCTCTCTCTCTCTCTCTCTCTTTCCTCTTCTCTCTGTCTCTCTCTCTCTCTCTTTCTCTCTCTCTTTCTAACTCTCTCTTTCCTCTCTTTCTCTTTGTCCCTCTCTTCCTTGCCCTCTCTGTGCTCTACTTTAATTCGTACACATTAAATTCAGTCATTAGGCGTTTATTATTGATTTGATAATGAAACCTTTCGATTATTAATAAATCATTTTTTATTATTGATTTGATAATGAAACCTTTCGTTCTCCTGCCATGCGCAGCTTTACCGACTTACGTTCTGGAGTCGTCACAGCGAAGAGGAGCGACTGCCGCTGGACGACGACAACGACGATGACGATAACACGCCGGCGTCCGTCACCGAATGTAAGTCACGGCACGCACGCACTCACACACGGCACGCTCGCACGACGCCACGCAACGCACGCACCAGCACGCACGCACGCACGCACGCAGCGCGACTCACTCACGCACGCACCATGCACCGCACGCACGCACAGCAACGCACAGCGTCGGGACCGCACGCCTCGCACGCGACGCACGCACGCCGCAGCGCTCGCACGCAACGCACGGCAACGCACGCACCCTCACGACGCACGCACGCACGCGACGCCACGCACGCAATGCGCTCGCGAAACCCCCGCGGCAGACCATCACAGAGTTTACACCATCACCGAGAATACATTAACACTCCGCTAAAGAAACCGGCGGGATTTTTCTGTTTCAGCTGAGTGGTTCTATATATATATACATGAGTGAGAAATCAGTCTGAAAGAGGTTCTTCCAAGAGGTTCTTAAATTTTTTGGAGTATATTGTGTACATTATCTAAGGTAAAATTTGCTTTTAATTAGTGAATAATAATATTCACACTCCTCTCCTCAACCTCGGTATCCGTCAAAATCAAACCAAACATTTATCTGGAAAATGAGGCAAAATACCCCGCTGAAAATCCAATCCTCCTGTGAGGAGGATTAATTTATCTGGACTACATGTTTTGGTTTCCAAATGGTGTAGCACACAATACTTGATTGCCTCAGTTTGCTATAATTTTTCGGTATTTTTTTATATAAGAACCTGTTTAATTTATCAGGCTGAAGAGGTTCTTATATAATAGGTGCTTTATTGGTCAATTTCAGCCTGGGAGTTCTTAAATCAGCGGTTCTTTATGCGGGTCGTTTACTGTATATCCTCACACGCTCATCTCAAATAACATCTCATGAGACTATTATTTTAGGAAATGAATCTGAAGAAATAATTTCCTAGGAAGTGTCTATATCTTAATCATGCTCGTCGTCGTCATCGTCATCCTCATCATCATGATCAGGCATCATCATCACTCATCATCATGCATCATCATGCATCATCATCAAATCATCCATCATCATTCACCGTCGTCATTATCGTCATCGTCGACTCGTCGTCTTTCAGCGTAGCAGCGAACCTGCCGAGCCGTCTTCACTAGAAAGCTCTGAATTTCGTGCGGTGGGGATCGAGTCGAGGCTGAGATAGTGGCGAGGCAGCGCATAGCACTGCGCAGGAGCTCGCTGCCCGAGCCGACGGCTGCAGGCGCGAAAGATACCCAAAGAAAAGCTCCGCAGCAGCCAATGCTATCGCCGAGCGCCGATGTATCATGTGGGGGCTGTGTAGCCGCTAACGCGAATGAGCGATGATGTGCCGCGCAAATATTTGGCTAGTGGGCTTCTACGCCTAGCTGTAGCGCTTCTCTGCGTGTCTATCTCAGCTCTTGTGCGGTCTCTCTCTCTCTCTGCTCTCTGATTTGATCACACAATCACAAACTATAATATATATATATATATATTATGTGTGTGTGTGGTGTGTGTTGTGTGAGTGTGTGTGCGCGTGTGTGTACGTGCGTGTGTGTGCGGCGTTCTTGCGTGCGTGCGTATGTGCGTGTGTGTATGCGTGCGTGCGTGCGTGTGTCGTATGCTAGCGTGTGTGATGTGGCGTGCGTGCGTGCGTGTGTGGGTGTGGTGTGAGTGGAGCATGTGTGTGTGTGTATGCGTGCGTTCGTGCGTGTTTGCGTGCGTTCGTGTGTTTGTTTGTGCGTGCTTGTGTACGTACGTGTGTGTGTGTGTGTGTTTGTGCGTGAGTGTGTGCGTGCGTACGCGCGTGTGTGTGTTTGTGCGTCTGGGCGAAACTTACTCGTTGAGTAAATTTGTGTAGACATGAAGGAAATAGCATGTTATTCCTACTGTTGTAGTTGCTTTATTGTTGCCATTGCCATTTTTATTTGACATTTGTTATTTGCCATTTTGTTTAGTTAATTTCTCAACGCGCATTGTGCGTTGCAACATGCACCCGTGGCAGACAGACAATCTATTCTACAAGTCTATGGCGCTTATAAGTATTTAGGTAACATTAATTTACGTAATTAATCTAGGTAGATATTATAGGTAATTTAGGTAGATATTATAGGCGGCTTTTCGTGTTAGTGATTACGCTATATAAATACTAGGCACGTAGTGTATAAACTAGATAAAATTCCACGATTAATCTACAAACTAGACGACGTACGTACGTCGTTCTACAATCGTTGTTCAAATTAAATATTGACTTTAATCCGTTCAAATATTGTCTTAAAACTGTCTGCTCTATTTTGACGCCATATTTTTACAACCTGGCAGGATAGAGTAGTGTTTTTCAATATGCCGTGTTTCTTTGTGTTGTAATATATATAAACGCGAATAAATCTATTTTTGCTCTATATTTTCTGTATTCTATACCGGAAAATGCCGTCCTCCTTGTTCCTGTATTTCTGTGACTATTCAGTCTTCATTAGGATGTCAGAATCATATTTAATTTGGCTGTTGGGTGCGGCCACGTAAGACCAATCTCATCATATAATTAGGGCATAAGCAGCTACATAGTCCACTACACACACGTTCCTAAATGTAACTAAGTGATAGAATAACACACAGCTAGCATATAGGCGCACCCAAATAAATGATAGAAAGGAATCATGTATAGTTTAATGCGTGATAGCAGTTCATTATTTATTAAACATGTATCAGTGCAGGTAATCACACGTAACCAACAAATATGTTCGCGCTTCTCGAGAAATAGAACAAATAGAACAGCCAAAAGTCGAGCCCTGATACCAGCAATGCCGACGACGACGACGACGACGACGACGACGACGACGATGACGACAACGACGAAGCCGACGACGACGACGACGACAGTGACGCTAACGCTATCAACAACGCTGACGGCGACGACGATGACGACAGCGACAGCGACGACGACGACGATGACGATGATGTTAATTCGCTTCTAGTTTCTCGACCATCCACGGGATGTAGCGCTGTATTCTGACGTAGACGCCCGGAAGATCCGGTCTAGCGCAGCCGACGCCCCACGAAACGACGCCGACAAGCACGTCCTCTGTCGTCCCAAACGACGTCGGCTTCCCCTTGATAGTCAGTGGACCGCCGGAATCCCCCTAGCGGCAGAAAATATGTCGCTTGTGAGCATACTCGGTGTGAGAGGGATGTGAGAGGGATGTGTTAGTCAAAATTCAGCAGTGGGTCATTATATTGCATTTATTAGCGCGTTTTGGGAGACGCATCGTACTCGCTAATATGCACGCACACACGCACGCACACACGCACACACACACGCACACACACACACACACACACACGCACGCACGCACGCACGCAGGCACGCTCACACGCACGCACGCACGCACGCACGCACGCAAATGCGCTCGCGAAAACGCAGACGCATCACAGAGTTACACATCACAGAGAATACAGTAAACACCCGCATAAAAGAACCCGGGATTTTCTGTTTCAGGCTGAAGTGGTTCTTATATATATGATACATAGTGAGAAATCAGTCTGAAGAGGTTCTTAAAGAGGTTCTTAATTTTTTGGGAGATATTGTGTACATTATCTAGGTAAAATTGGCTTTAATTAGTGAATAATAATATTCACACCCTCCTCTCCCTCAATCCTCGGTATCGTCAAAATCAAACCCAAACATTTACTGGAAAATGAGGCAAAATACCCCCTGGAAAATCCAATCCTCCTGTGAGGAGGTATTAATATTATCTGGAACTACATGTTGTTGGTTTCCAATGGTGTAGCACACATACTTGGATTGCCTCAGTTTGCTCTAATTTTCGGTATTTTTTTATATAAGAACCTGTTTAATTTATCAGGCTGAAGAGGTTCTTATATAATAGGTGCTTTATTGGTCAAATTTCAGCCTGGAGGTTCTTAAAATCACGGGTTCTTTTATGCGGGTGTTTACTGTATATCTCACACGCTCATCTCATAATAACATCTCATGAGACTATTATTTTAGGATAATCTGAAGAAATAATTTCCTAGGAAGGTCTTATTTAATCATCATCGTCGTCGTCATCGTCATCCTCATCATCATGATCAGCATCATCATCATCATCATCATCATCATCATCATCATCATCATCATCATCATTACCGTCGTCATTATCGTCATCGTCGTCGTCGTCTTTCAGCCGTAGGCAGCGAACCTGCCGAGCCGTCCTTCACTAGAAAGCTGCTGAATTTCGTCGGCGGGATTCAGTCGGAGGCTGAGATGTGGCGAGCAGCCAAGCAGCTGCGGCAGGAGCTCGCTGCCCGAGCCGAGCTGCAGGCCGAAGATACCCAAAAGCTCCCGGAAGCAGCCAATGCTATCGCCGAGCAGCCGATGTACATGTGGCTGTGTAACGCTAACGCGATAGCGATGATGGCCGGCGCAATATTCCTGTGGGGCTTCTACGCCTAGCTGTCGCTCTCTGCGTGTCTATCTCTGCGTCTCTCTCTCTCTCTCTCT